TGCTGGCCAAGATGAGAATTTGGGCTTTGGGTGTTGGATACTTCCTTTTTTGGATTTTAACCTAATTTTTCCACTTATAAATAGCCCTCAAAACTTATCAAGAATTCATTCGGAAATATCCAGAATTTCTCACAACAACTCTTCACAAATACTTTCTTTTCAAATTTTCTTCTCAATATTATCGGTGTTTATTTTACTATTTGTAGGCCGATGATTTCATATGAGGCCTCTTGATTATTTTTTTAATTGTTGTTGTTGTTTTATTTAACCATATAATAATATTTTCTCATGGTTTTCTTTCTTTGTAAAAAAAAACTAATATATATGCAGTATTTTGTTTTATCAACAACTTCACAGATCCAGAATTCATCAACAATTTTTCCATCAACCACACACAAATTGCACAACCATGTTTCGGTGAAGCTTCCACGCACCAACGCATGAAGTCCCTCCGGCAACCCTCCAATCGCGGCCACCACCACTATAATTTTCTCCTTTTTTCTTTCGGTTTTGATTGTGGGACATAGGTGTTAATTCCGTTACTATGAAGAAGAGAGATTTGCTTGCTGTTATTTTTTCTGCAAAAGTTATGAACGAAAAAAGGGGTACAACCACCATTGGTTAGTGCTTTGAAAACTTGATGATAGCAATAGAGATAAAGTTACGTGAAAGGTAATCTCAATTTCTTTCATTTGTTATTGTTATTTTATTTTGGTTTTTTACACAAACTCTTGTTTAAATTAGACTATAGATAAACAATCCCTTCATATTTAATTTACTAATCATTCGATTTAGTTATTTTATTATTCTAAAAAGGATATAAAATATTAATTTCATTAACTGCTTAATTTAGTCTATAAAAAATGTCCAAACACAAAAATGGGTGATTTTATTATTAACTTTAGATTTGTTGGTAAATAATTAATGTAGTTATATAATTAAGGCTAATTAGATTTAATTGGTTATTTTACTCTATTAACTTTTAATTATAAGAATTCAAAAAATCAAACTTTTTAATTAAAATTCTACTTAATCTAAATCCCCGCTTAATTGGGCCAAGTTCAATTTCTGAACTTGGGTCCTTAATACCCCATTTGTATTTAGGGCCCAGTTCAATATCTGAACTTGGGTCTTTACTTGCCAGACCCTCCTATTTGACTACCTAGTTACAAAACGTATCCCTCGGCCAATTTGGGCTCAAAATATCTTTGGGTTCAGATTTTATTCTAATACACCGCTCAGTCTTAATATCCTCACCCCCCTGCGTGTTTTTGGTCCAGTTCAATATCTGAACTAGGGTCCTTCATCTTAACACCTCCATATTAAGTTTTGCACCCTTTAACCTTAACTAATTAATTTATTATAATATTTCTAATCTTCTATTTTTTTAATTATTATATATCGCATTTTTACATATTTGCATTAAATATAATTTTCGCATATTAATAAATAATTATTGGATATTTTTAATATTTGATATTTTTTTAATAATTCGAAAAGATAGTTAGTTATTAGCTTAAATATTTTTCTAAAACACTAACTCTATTTTTTTAAATTGCATTAATTATTTTTCTCGTCCAAACATATTTTTCTCATATCGCATCATACATCCTAAAATAGCTAACCAATCAAACACTAACAATTTTTCCACTAACATAACAAAATAAAAGATATTTTCATAAAAAGGATTAAGGAGAATTTCTTTCAAAATTAACTGCAAACTGCGTCTACAATCACTCACTTTTCAAAACCCAGACAAAGTTCAAGGATAAATTCGAAAGCAATTCTACGTAATCCTATAAAAAAAACACCAACCAAACTACGAACTACGAATTGAGACTCTGATTCCTCATAAGAGGATACGTAGACATACGACTAAAATCGTGGCGAGTCTTTCTGATTAAAACTTAAAATCCAGTTTACTCCAAACCTAAACCTAGGGTCTAATATCCTTGTGAACAAGGTGGATGAAAGGTGCCTAACACTTTCCTTTCGTCTAATTGAATCCAAAACCTAGAATCTCTATCCGCGAATTAGGGTTTTCTGTTAGGTTCCCTTCCCTAGGATAAAAACTAATAGTTGTGACTCTTGATTTAAAAAGCCAGTTGCTACACCCATAACAAATCAAAGTTTGAGCTTAATGTAACAATGATATTAAAGAAGACTTTTTATGCACATTCTCACAAAAAACAATAAAACATACCAGAGTCTTCAATCCTTCGTCTATCACACTTTCATCCAGGAAAAGTACAACATCCTCAATCTAACAAAGGAACATGAATAACACTTAATAGCATATTTGGATAGCTAATTTGACTTTCCTACAAACAACACAATCCACTAAAAATGAAATTCACCAAACAAATTAACTAACCAAATAAACTCATAAACAAACAAAATAATATGAATAAATGCCATCAAAAAACTTGAACAAAGGAACAAATTGCCATTACCTTACAGAGGTGGTGTCCGCCCAAAGCTGGGAGACAAATCCAAAACTAAGAGCATACTCAATGCTGATCACCTGCTTCGCCAACAAATTCGACCTTCCAATTACTTGTTTACCTTTCCTTAACCTAATATTACCACCAAATTTCTCAACTTTATCATCTTTTCTCAAATCAACCCCATCATCTCCTTCTCTGACGCCTTCAACCCGAATCAAATCGTCTTCTCGCAATTTGTTCACATTCTTTCCACTTCCTTTATCATCAAGAGGGATATACCCATCAATTTATTTGGACCCATTCTCATCAAGGGGGTTTCTTTCCAACTCCAACCCAAAATTTTGGTTGATGATGAGGAGTGATGAAAATGGTGATGGTTAGAGGAAGAAAGGGTGACGACTAGGGTTAAGGAAGAGAGAGTAAGAGAGAAACTTAAGCGTGAAAAATACATTTCAATTTTTTGTTTTTAACATTTAATTTTAAATTAATATAAAATAAAACAATTATATCTCATCTAACCTAGAACTAGCTGGCATGCCACACAAACATAAGTTAACAGAATTTGATAAAATTTAACGGATAAGACCAATGTGATTAACAAAATGACATTTAAGGGATTTAACATGAACGTTTACTAAATAAAGGATTAAAGTGAAACCTTAAATTAAATTAAGGGATTAAAGGATGCATTAAGCCAAATAAAAACTACATTACTTGGGGATGTCCTTGACAAATATTAATGAGATTTTTTAAATTTTGAATTTGTACATTGCAAGGGGTAACCCAACGCACAGTCAAAATGGCGCCATATAATATATGCATTTGCCACGGGTAACCCTTGTCCAGATATCTTCTTCTTCAATTTTCCAGGTCAACGTAGAAAGGGTGCCAGGCGGTATATTATTTCTTGGGGAGCCCTATGAAAAATTGTGACCGTTCAGCTAGCTTGGGGAGCCCTTATTCTTTAGTTATGTCTTGTCACCGCTTCCCCATGTCAGTGCATTAATGTGTTGGTTGAGAATCATGAATGCAATTTGTTAAGGGATGCCCAAAGCTGAAAGTGACCATGCAATTTGTCAGGGGAGTCCCCTCGCAGATGTATTGCCCATAAATACACAAACTCTTTATTTAAAAATAGTAATTTGAAAATATTGATGCAAAATATATTACCTCTTAGTTCGATCATATAACTGAGGTTAATACTAATAAAAAATGAGAAGAAGAAAAAGATTAACAAAGAGAATAAAAAGAAAGCTGGAAAGACGTCAAGTGATAAATATTAATTAAACCTTTAAAAAAACTTAAAATGCAGTATCTGGGATTCAAAGCGAGCTCCGTTATAGCTATATTCTCTCGGTTATTTTTAGAAATCGAAGGGAAAAGTTGTATATTTTTTTGGGTTAAATATATTTTTGATCCTCCTAAATATTTTATATTTAACATTTAGTCCCTCCAAAAATTTTCTTCAAATAATAGTCCTCCTAAAAATTTTAATTTTAACTTTTTGGTACCTCTTGTCAAAACTGTTGATAAAATTGTCGCTAATTCAATCGCTAAGTAAAAAACCGTTGCTAATTCTGTCACTAAGTTGTAAAAAACCGTTGCTAATTCTGTCACTAAGTTGTAAAAGTCGTCGCTAAGTTACAAGAGGGACCAAAAGTTAAAATTAAAATTTTTAGGAGGACTATTCTTTAAAGAAATTTTTTGGAAGGACTAAAAATTAAATATGAGAAATTTAGGAGGACCAAAAACATATTTAACCTAATTTTTTTAAAAAAATAAACATGACGCTTCTATAATCTATACCGTCAATTTTTTATTCTTTGAAGTGAAAGTTTCATCATAAAATATATTATTTATAGTAGTCGATGAATCCTTCTAAACATGATCAAAATGAAATTGTTCGAAGATTCTTAAAAAATTGTTGAAATTTCATTTTTTTTATTGCTTAATTATACTCTTAATAAATTTAGATTAAATTAGAATTGCCCTCAACTTATAACTCTACTTATAAGAATTTTTTTTTTTGTTGTTTTTTTTAAATTATTTATAAGAAAACATCACATTTTATAATATCTAACTATTACTATTTAAAAATACTTTTTTTAATCCTAATTTAATCTTGATCTTTTTAGTATAAATAAATATATTTAATACAGTATTTCACAATATACAAAATTGTAAGTATAAAGCAAACTAAATCCAAAATATACAAAATATTAATTTACTCATTGAAATAATTAACATGAGTCAAAATACTCCATCAGTCAAATAGCTCTTGTATTATTAGCGCATATGTTTACATACGAGTGATGGTTAACATGGTAAACTATGGACTGCAATTTCCTACATTCAAGGAAATGCCACGTTCAGATCCGATGGCTTAAATTTTAAATCTAATATTTTATATTATTTGAAAAGTCATCAAATACATCAAATACAACCATTGATTTAATATTAAAAATATACCATAGCCAAGATAAAATGCTCATATTAAATACATCAAATACATCAATAGCAAGTAGTAGTGTTATTTGTTGCAGTTTCTTTACACTACACTTGAAGAAAAGGAATGGGATTCAACCTTGCAACTGGAATGCCGAAAAGATCATTAGCCCTAGGAGCAGTCAATCCTGGCCGTTCATCCATATCAATCTTTTTTCCATAACCTAAGATTTTACTCTCAGAATCAGTCATCTTCCACTCAAAGCATTGCACCAAAGCTCCCATCACAGTTGGCAATTCACGCATGGCCAAAGGCATACCAGGGCAAGCCCTCCTTCCAGAACCAAATGGCAACAACTCAAAGTTATGTCCTTTCACATCTATATCACTTTCTATGAATCTCTCTGGCCTAAACTCTAATGGATTTTCCCATATCTTTTCGTCTCTTCCCATAGCCCAAACGTTTACGCAAACTATTGATCCTTTTGGAATCATGTTTCCATCAACCACACAATCTTCTACTCCTTTTCTAGCAATCATCGGTAGCGGCGGGTGAAGCCTCATTGTTTCTTTTATTACAGCATTTGTATATGGAAGATTTGAAATGTCTGCTTCACACACTAGTCTTTCCTTCCCTACTACCATGTCCACCTCCTCTTGCATTTTCTTTAGCACCATTGGATTGTTGTACAATTCTGCTATTGCCCATTCTAATGATATAGCAGTAGTATCTGTAGCTGCTGTGAAGTAATCCTGAAAATATCAATAATTGACGTCTCATGTAAATGTCATTATAAGATATTATAAGAATCAGATATATTACTTATTCAATGAATCTAAAAAAGTAAATTTTCTCTAGAGTAATAATCTACTGAATCAAGGAATACAAGAATGATATATACTTACCAAGATCAATGATTTAATATGGTTTCTAGTAAAGTCAACTTCACAATCTTTTGCCTCAGAAACATCAAGCAAAATATCAAGAAAATCCTTCACTTTTTCTTCTTCATTAACACATGATTCACCCTCAACCTTGAATTTCTTTCTCGACTCTTCGCGATCACATATGATTTTTTCCAAAAAAGCATCATACCTCTTATGTAAATCCAAAGCCTTCTTTTTGAGACCTTGCAAGTCGAAGTTTTTGCAAAATCCTATAAAATCTGAAATGTTAAATTCCCCGAAAGACAGTGTCACCTCGCGAACCAAAACCCTAGCTTGTTCGGCCTGACTGTCTGTCCCCGAGGTCTCAATGCTCAACATCATTCGCGATATTATGTTGTTAGAAAGTGTCATCAAAGCTTGCGTGAGATTCAAGCTATCTTCAAATTTTGATTTATTCGCCAAAGTGCGAATGAACTCGTGGAGTTCTCGGGTTCTAATTGGTAAAAACTGTCCTAGGGTTTGATTTCCTAATAGCTCAAAAGTGCTTAGCTTTTTAATGAATTTCCAATATGTCCCATAAGGGGCAAAAGCAAAAGTAGCATTATCATAGACAACAGTGTTGATGACAATGTTCATTTTTCGAGAAGAATAAACGAGCTCATTTGTTTTGAGGATCTCTTTAGCGAGCGATGGAGTGTTAACAACGATGAACCGAGCGGAGCCAAGTCGAAGGGATATAACAGGGCCATATCGATCGGAGAGGTCGCGGAAGGCATGGTGAAGGAGTGGTTTGAGGAGATGAAGATGGCCAATTATTGGTATTGCTGGTGGACTTGGAGGGTAAGGTACATTATACTCCTTTGGTTTGTTGTATTTTTTAGACAAAAAAAGTTTGAGAAGGAAAACAAAGAGGACTAGAAATAGAGCTAATAAGATCGGTTGAGAAACCATCTTGTTATTGGGTTTGATTGGAAATGAAACTTCATGATAAGAGATGAGAATTGATCGTGGCTTTATAATGAAACCAGCTCTTGAGAAGAAGGTAGTGGTAAGCACTGCACTAATGAAACCACCAAGTGGTACGAATATAAAATTTGGATTGAATATTTTGTAAATTGGTTGCAAAAAGTCTAAAGTCTTATCTTAGATTCACATTATATGTCAGAAAGCTTGTAATGATTCTTATTTTTAATCGAGGACGATTGGAATAAATTTATGTCATGGTTATCATGTGGTAAACAATTTACTATATATAAAAAATGTAATATATTAAAATTAATATTGATGATGACAATGGTAGGTTATATTTGAAATAAAAATTTGTAAAAAAAATAGATTAAATTACTATTAAAAAATAATAATAGATTAGTAGAATATATTACATTCGTAAAAAATAAAAGAGTATTAAAAGTTAATTTTGACATTCAATTCAGACGTTTTTTTCATATGAAAAGACATCTAATAATATTTTATCTTTTAAAACTTTTAGTATTTTTAAATTATTTTTAGATTAGTATGGGATTTTAATTTGAATCAATTTAAATTTACATACTTTTAATTTTAATATGTAAAATTATCATCCACTTGTGAAGCACCCTTCAAAATTCTAAAAATACTTTTACATTCTAAAATAAAAAATGTGATTTTTTAGGCTTTGGATTTAGAATCCAAACTTATTGTAAATCCATTAAAAAATACTCCATTAAATTAAATTCAAAAACCACATAGATATAAATTATAAACATAAATTAAACAAAAACAAGAATACGAATGAGATAAACTAATTTCTTCGTCGGGTTCAACAATGCATAATGTATGTGATTTCATTAAATGTCTTGGAACAAATCAAATTTGAACAAATCTAACAGGGTAATATATAACATGATCGATTCGTTAAAACGATAGTGAACAAATATGAGAACATGATTCTCATATCATCATTATTTTGAAATTGAATGGTGAACTAAACACGTCCATGTGAGTCTATTGAGAGATAACAATACTTAACACTTGCCATCTTTCTTGTATTAGTTGAGACGACCATTTCATTGATCAAATTAGTCCTTCAAATCACACAACTTAACATCAACATTGATTATAAAATATTAGGAGCCCCATTGTTATAAGAACTACAGTTAGATTGTAATTGACAAGGGTTGGAATAAGCTTTGAATATAATTTGATTCCATACTTATGGTTCAAGCAGTCTCAAATTCTTCTCTGGTTCTGTGGCAGCTCAGAAGGAAGTGGTTGGTTTGTATCAATTTTTATTTCAACAATCATCTCTTTTTCTCTCACATTTACAGGGAAGGCAACACTTGTGCAGATTATCTGGCTAACTTAGGCTTACATTTTACTCTGCTAACAATTTTTGAATCCATTCTTTTAGGGTTAACGAAGTATTTTGTAAGTAATAGGCTAGGTTTGTCTTGTTACCGGTTCGTAGCCTGTTGATGGGGTTTTTTGTATTCCCATATTTTTCGAGGTTTGAGTTTAGTTCTTCTTCTTTTTGCTCCATTTTTCTTTAATATATGAGTTCATTCAAAAAAACTGGGTATCAGTAAGAGTACATTGTTTTGAAATGTAAAGTAAAATGAACTAAATACATATAGAAGTTTATGTGCATTATAGTCACTAAAAATATTTATACGTTAACGGACACACAACCTGTCAGAGCAATCTAGAAAATATGTCATAAATTTATAATGTGTTAAACAAGTTCAAATTTTATAAGAAAAATATGTAAAATACGTATTTTACTCATTCATATTCTAGAATCCGAACAGGAACAATTACACACTTTTGTAAGTCTTGAAAAAACTTTGTTTGTGTGTAGATTCTATTATGAATTTGCATATTACACTAAGGATGATGGTTTATCAAAACCCCAAAAGAGGGTAAATTTGGACATAACGAAGAATTACAATATATGGCAAATGTTGAATCGCAGTAAGAAAGGGAAAAGACACCATGAATCATAACATTCTAGTTTGAATCACGACAAAAACACAAATTGCAAGGTAAGATGGAATGAGAACAAAGGACATGACTGGAAGGACGAAAATAATAAATCAATAACTGAAAAATCATGAACACAAAAAATAAATAACAACCTAAATCCTTCAAACAAGATCAATAAAATAAGGGAGAGAGATAGATTGAAACATACTTTTATGGTGTTGACCCAAACAAGATCGAGAAGGTTGAAATCAAAATATGAGTAGGCATGAAGCCTTTGTAAGAATCTTCTCTGGAGAGCTTAGAGTAGTTGAATTCAGATCCTTCATCGACAGTTATAAATAATGAGGAGTTGAATGGGATTTGGAATAGAAACCATGGAAGCAAAAAGATGAACTTAATACTGGCTGCATTGAAAGAGAGAGAAAATGCAGAGACCAGGCCCAAGTAGGAGGAATTGTAGAGGTCAGGCTAACAATCATAATGATAATGAATCTACTACCCAACAATATGGTAAATGTTCTGGACCGGTTAAAAGACCCAATTGATCAAGGCTCAATTCATCAAAATCCCACTCTACTCGACCCAACACATGAAATGGTTCATAAATTATAGAAGGTACACATTCTCTGATCTTCAATTTTACTATACTCATCTTAAATCTTGAACTGACTTGGGCACTAGAGTACTAACCATGTAGGTCCATCCCGCACCACAGTAAAGGAGATCAGAGCCACTATTCAAGATCATGTTTATCCAATTCTCTTCATTTTTTATTCCTTAACAGAGCTTGAGTATCCATTTCTAGTTGTCAAACGGAATAGTGGCACCGTCTGTGGGAATTAACTTATGATTCTTATGATTTCCATGATTTTATATCCAATTTTCGATTTACCAAGTCACTGTCTCCTTAAACTATTGAATCAAAAACACATTCATCATTTGATTCCAACGATTTCCGTTATTCATGTTTGCTTCTCAGTTTCATTGTTTTCAGCTCCTCTAGATCTCAGAATTGAGAGCATTCAGAAGCAAGCGAGGAGACCTATCACAATTGTAACACCCCACTTTCCCATACTAATAATTATAATAAAATATACAAGATATATAAGAGTCCACAAATGGGATGTCACATATTTCAAAAATTCATAAAGTCTCAAGTCACTTTATTACTTCATTTATTCATAATAATCAATAAAGCAACGAAACAATTCAAATTAATTTATTTCCATGGCGCTGAGGCCTCAACATTAATAAAAACTCCACAGGAAACACGATCCAATATAATGATGAATTAAGATACGTAACAATCAAAAACAATGAAAAAACATAGCAAACTCATAAATCTCATGTTACGTATCAGTGCAACTCCTAAGACACAATCAAGCAACACTCGCTCCAAGCACTACTCAGATACCTGGTTATTTGTACTCCCCGAGGAGCACAAACATAACAAAAAAACGGGTGAGAATTACATTCAATAAATATATGGTGATTGTCACATGCTAAGGAGTACTAATTCATACAAATACATAAATCACAAAATACACAATTCACACAATGCTTCACAATACATTCTTCATCCATATAATACAACATCAAATCAAGATAGTGCAATGTAATGCAACCGACAACAACTAAATGCAAGTGGTACCATTAGGGCGTAAGCACTCTCTCTAAAATTCCAAATAGGGCAACAACATGGCATAAGTCGTCAACATAACGCCATTACAGGCCAACAACAGGGCATAAGCCCTCACCAATGAATGCAAGCATCATCAACATGCAACACCACAACCACACAACCACAAAGCATAAGCCTTCCATATTTGCCAATAAGGCCACCAATATTATTATCATCATGCAAAATACAAATCCACAAGGTTCCACATTTTATCTCAACATTCCTTATTACTAACCTTCCTATATCTACTTATTATACTATTCAATACGAATCAAGGTAAGTTACACTGCATACGAAAACAGTAAAGAAATCACGAAAACGAAAATGTACACACACCAGTCTGCCCATACGCGTACCATATGTAACACTCCAATTCTACCCCGACAAATTATATAAATAAATCATAGTTATAAAATTCATATCATGTAAACGAATCGGGACGTCACAAATTCTTCTATCAAAATTCATTGCATTCATCGTGGATATATAACACTTTCAAAACATCGGATGAACCATCATAACATCTTTAATTAAATAACTCAACATCTACGCAGCGGAATTCTCAATAACAATTTTATCATCAATACAGCAACTTCGAAACAGCACATATTAATAATAATCAACTTAAATTTCCACAACTGAAAATCAACAATAAAAAACAACAAGCGTTCATCCCCCCGAGTGTTACATATCAGAGCAATGGCACCGACTCGAACTACTGAAGGTATACAACCTTCACTCTCGATTACCTGCACGTTACCAACATAAGGGCAACATTCAAATAGAAGGGGTGAGATTTCTAACAATATAATAAAGCGCATGATAATTAATATATTAAATTAGATCAATAACATCACCACTTCTCATCTCATAATCAACAATAATTACAACGCATATACACATTCATCAACATCAAAATACACTTCTTTATGCCATCATATAATGTGACTCAATATTATGCAAATGCATGTGGTACCACTGGAGCAGAACTCCCATCTCAAAAATTTGCCAATTAATAGAGGCATCAACAAGGCATAGCCTTCATCTCAAAATTCATCTCAAATTAACAACATCTCAAAAGCATCTCAACGTCTCTTCATCAACATCTCATATCATCAGAATAATTCATCAAACATCATTTATTATAAATCATCAACACAACATCATTAACAACTTCTCACTAACAACTAAGTTGTACATTAACACCACAATAATTCATACTGCTATTCTGTAATTCTTACATCGTTATTATCACTATCCTACTGTTATAACTCAAACAACAACTTCTAAGCATCTAATTTGCATTATT